TTAAGACTTACTCTACCCATTGAGACTCAATGCTTAATTCCTCATGGGAAAGCACCCTCTTCCTCAGTCTTTTTTTCACATTATTGCCCATTCCTTATGGCACCTATGCTGTAGTGAGTCAGGAGAACGTGCCTTTTCATTACACTGCCATTAACAACCACTTCAATAACACTCCAACCATAACTGGCTCATAACGCTGACCACGAATCTGTTCACACCAGGAACTAAGCCAGGAGCAGGACAGCAAGGCAGCACAGAGGGCTCACACTGCACAGCTGCCCCTCTGCAGAACCAGGGTGCACATCCCATTCGGGACTCTGTTTGGGACACCGACTCCTCACCTGAGCACAGCTGTTCGATCTTGGTCAGCGTCAGCTGCAGAGACTCATTGATCCACGCCAGCATGTCATGTCGGCTCAAGTTATCGCTGGTCACTGAAGTAGAATACACATTCACTGCCATTTTCTGAAAGACACAACCGGAGGTGTGAGTGCCGCAGACGCCGGTCCCCCACGCTCAGGGGCTGTGTGGAGGTGGAGCCGCTTCCTTTCGAGCCTTCCCGACACGCCAGCGAGCGCATCGCGACGGAGCTGCCGGCTGCCAACAGCTGGGCGGACCCCCCCTCCCCACGGCCGAACGGGGCTCGGCTCCGCGATTTCCCAGGAAAAATTCGCACCCCGGCGCTCACGTGGGAACCGCTGAAAAGGAATCACGGCCGCGGCAAGTCCACATCCCTCTCTTCCCCAGCGCCACCGGAACGGCCGGAAACACTTCCTGCCCGGTCTCGGTATCTCCCGCTGGGATCAGCCGAGCGCCGCTCCCCGCCCAGCCCGCCGCAACAAAGCGGAGCCGCCGCGCAGCTGCCGCCGGGCAGGGCGCCCGCGCCGCGGGGCGGGGCACGGCCCGCTCAATACCCCCATACACAGCCCCCGACCCATCCCGCCGCCCCGCCGGCGCTCCGCTCCCCACCGACCCCGCGCTCCCTTACGCTCCAGCCGGCGCCCGCCGGGCGCCCACGACCGTGCCCGCCGAGCGCGGGTCCCCCTCCGCGCGGCGGCCCGGCCCGGCCCGGTTTCACTTGCGCGCGCTCGCCCCGTCGGCCCCGCGTCAAACCGGCCCCGCCGCCCTGACCGGGACCGCGTCACGCGCTCGCTGCCGCACTGCGTCACGCGCGCGTCACGGCCCCGCGGGAGCGCCGGCGCGCCGACGGGGCCGCGAGAAAGGGGAGGGCGGGGCCGGTGCTAAGGGGCGGGGCCAAAGCCGCGTTGCTAGGTTATAGGCCACGCCATCAGCATGCCCCCCGCCGCGGGCTCGCCCGCCATTGGCGGAACCGTGGCCCGCCCACACCGAGGGGTCCCGCGTGCCCGAGGGGTCGCGCCGGGATCGGGAACGAAAGGGAGCGGCGGGGGAATGGGGGGACCGACCCCCGGGTACAGCCGGGACCGACCACCCTGCACCAACCACCCCGCACCGAGCACTAGGTACCAACCCCCCGGTACAGCCAGGCCCAGACCCCAGCACAGCCCAGCCCAGACTGATGGGCTCTTGTATTTCAATCTGAAATTAAGGGCGTTTTTTCCGAACTGGTAGAATTGTGCAGTCCTGCTGCCACCGGTGCAATCCGTCTAGTGGATGGATGGCTTGAACTTGTAAGATACACATTTATTTTCAGCTGAGATGTCAAGGAGAGGTAAATTATTATGCCTTGCTGATTTCATGATTGAGTCCTTACTGGTTCCCCAGATCTTTGGATAATGAGACAAGATCTCAATTTTTTTTTTTTTTGAAAAATAACCTTAGTCTTGAAAGCAATTGACTGACCATAACTATGTGTTGGTCAGAGCTGATGGGGCTTTGAACAACCTGGCGTAGTGGAAGGTGTCCCTGCCCATTAGGTTATATCCCTATTTGGGATAGACTACATCTTCACTGAATAGCTGCAGTTGATTCCTAGCCCAGCCAGGGATCAGACTCCCCTCTACAGCCTGACCTCTACCACCCAGCACAGCCAGGACCGGCCACCTTGGTGTCACTGGGTGTCACCTCAGCAGCAGTGGGGAAGGGGTGTCCTGGCTCCCCAACTGTGCCCCTCCTCCTGCTGCAAACCCCCTTTTATTCACCCAATAAAGACAGTCCAACCATACAGAAATACTCCTTTTTAATCAGACATGATAAATGGTAAACTGTCGACATGGATCCCCTCTCTTTCCCATGTGGAAACCAGTGGAATCATGTGGACAAGGAAGAGTTGGGAGTTTCCACACTCCGGATACAAAAAAAAAAAACATGTAAAATGTGTTCAAAATGATACATTTCTTTTATTTTTAGAAGATTGTACAAAAACCCGCAACATGTTCAACATTAAAAATCCTTAACCTAAAAAAATAGCACCAGGGAGTTAGAAACCTTTAAAAAGTATTAAAAAGGCATTTCTGAAATCCTCCTCCCTTAACAACATTTTATAAACACATAATAAAAGGCGGCTCTTAACAGGGAAAAAACATTTCAAGGAAGACTTGTCTGCTACAATTCTCATCAAGTGAGCTTAATGTCAAGACAATTCTCATTCCTCTTTTATCTTTGTTTACTTTCCCCAAGTCCTTTTTTTTTTCCCCTTATCTATTTGTTTTCCTTTTGATCAGATAGGAAAGGATGTGAGATTTGGAGTATAAGATCAGGGATGCTGTGGAGTGGAGGACACGTGTTTGCCCAGTTTGGAAAAATCAAACCCATCAGAGGGGTGCAGAGCAGAGGATGCCTGTCACCCACAGGCCCCGTGCTGGGCTCTGAACGGGAACTTCAAGGAGCTGGGATGAGGAATTAGTGTTGTGGCTGGGCTCCAGCTGGACACAAGGATCAGAGAGGTTGGCGAGGGGTTCAAAACCAGCCAGTGCAGCAGTGGCAATGCCAAGGCTTCCCAAACACCTTCAGCACACACAGAACCCACCCTGCCATCTTCCCAGCCCAGGGCCTGGTGACAAGACAGTGCTACATGTCCCCAAGAAGTGACATGAAGCAGCTCACTTGGCTTTCTGCAGCGTTTTCTTGACTAAGGTGTGGGGCTTGAATATATGCCATGGAGAATGAACCCCTCAAGGAAGACTTTTTAAGAGTAATTTCCAGGTTAAAATGGGAAAAAAAGCCTTTAAACTACCTGGGCTTCCTTTTCTGCCCATTCCCAAGTACAGCCTTGGGGTGGAGACCAAGAGAAAATGATCCTCAGAGCTGGGGTGGAAAGCTGCACACAAGGGTAGAAAATGAGAGGCTGCCATCCTCCACCAGCTGAGACAGGGGTGCCAGGGGGTCCCAGCGTGTCAGAGAGGTAGAAGGAGCTGGGAGAGAGGCTCTCACTTCCCACTGATGCTGTACAACACCTTGCAAGACAGCCTAGCACCAATCAGGGGGGTGGGTTGGCCCATGGTTTGGACCCAATTAATTGTGAGAAGGCACTGAAGGGCTCTGCCAGAGCCAGGTGACAGGTGACCAGCAGAGGTAGGGGAGGACAGAGGACAGGGGAATGTCACAAGCTGTTTCAGTGCATTGAAATGTGCATTGGAATTCAGAGTCTTTAGAGATGCCTGCTGAGGCAGCAGCCCAGTGGCTAAGGAAAACCTGGCGGGAATGGAGGCAGGAACCCACACCTCCCTGGATGCTGGCTATGGGCACAGCACGCCCAGGTCTTCATGGACAGCGGGAGAATCAGTCTGGCAAAGTTGGGGAGCAGAGGAAGGCAATCAAAAGTGAGCACACTGGTGGCTGCAGGAGGTTCCAGTTTGTGCGTACATCCATGGGAGCCCCCAGGGCACTGCCAGGCTGGGGCTGCGCACACAAGTACCAGCAGCATCCCACCTCTGCCCAGGGATGCACAGGGAGACAGATGCGCAGAGGAGGAGAGGTGCAGCCCCTGCCTGCATCCCCCCAAGACCCCCCAGCAGTGGCAGTGCCCGCAGTGGGGGGACACACACAGCCCCCCCCCAGCTTTCTCACTTCACTGCCCCTCAGGGTCCACTCCCCCTGCCCACAGCATGAGATGGGCACGGGCAAGAGTGGTGCTGCACTCCTGGACCTTGCACCCCCATAGGGGTTGGGTGGGATTTTCCCTGTAAGGAACCCCCTGCCCCACAGCCAACACCCTGCCACTGCTGCTCGGGTTCATGATATGGTACGTGACATTTGGGGGGGCTGGGGTTTGAGGATGCCATTGACCACTACGCTGTCCTTCCTGCTGACATACCACATTCATTTGGGAAATGGATGCTCCAAGAACATCTTCCTTTACAGACACTGGAGACCAAATCCTCCCTGCTCCAATTACTGTGTAAGCTTTCAAGCCATTCAGCAGGATTTTAAAATGTAAGGAAAGGTTTTAGATGCTTTAAAAAGGAAGTAGTGAATATCTGTAAACTACAGCCAAACATATAAAACAGTATTTCTTCAGTTCTAGCTAGAAAAGTAATTCTATCACCTCACAGTTCAGTTTCAGCTACATTCAGGTCTAGGAATCTCCACATTCTTATGTAATGCCTTAAAAGCAGCAATAGACATTAAAACAACAAAAGTAAAGTTTATAAAAAAAATAAAAATAAAAAAGATTTGGTTTCTGTATAATCCTGTGTTCAGTGTGTAACCTGAGCAGGGTCCCCTACACCTGCTGCTACGGTTTGGGGGTTTTTGGCAGTTGCTTCAAGAGGTTTTGTTTGTTTAGGAAAAGCATTAATTCACTGTAGTTCAGGTTTGCCTGCAGCTCCCTGGCAGCTGCCCCCACACTGACTGCTCAGCAAGTGGTGACTTCCCAGCTCCAGGCTAAACCGGAATAGTTAATGCTGTGGAGGAGGCTCCCCGTCTCATCAGTGATGCATAGAGCTCCTGCGCTGGGTAATTAAAGCTCCTTGTCCATCATTTCCTACGAATCACTGCCTTTAGTTAGTCCCTTTAAAGAAGTGACCCTGCCAGGTTCTTTGGTTACAGACGGCTCTCCCTGCAGGGCCAGGCTGCCGTCCCGCAGCACGTGGCCGGGGAGGGACGGGGCCCTGGCAGTCTGGCAGCCGTGCCCGTCCCTCTCCCGCCACAGCAGCGGCGCTGTGCACCTTTACCAGAGAGACGAGGGACGCTCGGCTTGCTATTCACAGGCAAAGTAATCCTTGAGCGGGGAGAAGAGGTGCCGGATGACCGGGACGCTCCACGATTTCTCCAGCAGCTTCTGGTGAGCCCCGCGGCCGATGTTGGAGACGTCCGTGTAGTGGAGGGGGAAGCCGAAGATCCTGAGGAGTAGAGGCAGGAGATGGTGGGTGAGACAGAGCAGAAGCCCCTTTCGCTGGCCAGCCCTGCTCCTGAGCCACCTGAGACACAGAGCATCTGCAATCTCCTATGGGAAGGGCACTCTGCTCCCCAGCGTGGTCAGAGCCCCACGTGGCCTGAGCAGTGTCACCATTCTGAATGGGGACAGGTAGTGGCAGCCCACCTTTCCCTGTGCCCTCTGTAGCTTTTTCCTGGCAAGGCTTTTGGAGAAGCCCTGTGCCAGTGGCATCCTGCCTGCCTCTGCTCAGCAGCACCTTTGCAAGCACCACCTCAGGCTACTCCATGGAGATAGGAATGAGTAGCCCTGGGCAGCTCTGAGTCATGGGCTGGGCACTTCCCTTACAATCAGATGAAAGTCCAAGAGCCATTTCACATGACAAAGGCTTGGGAATTATTTTTACTTTCAAATGCCTTTAGCTCAGTGTTAACTCCAACAAATACTGGCAATTTAAATAAACAAACAAAAATATTTAACCCCAGTCTGTGTTTACTGGCCAAAGCATCCGCTATGCAAAAACTTCAGGTTCTGTCACTAGGAGTATTTGGTGTGCAGGATTACTCCAATTGGATTTTATCTACTCAAAGTCCTTCTGTTGTTTTTTTTGCCACGAATTCAGGGTGTGAATAGGGTTTGGAGGAGCGCAGTGCTGCCATGCTTTGCCTCAGCAGCTGCCTGCTGCAGTATGAGCTTCCCCACGCCACTACACCCAGCTGAGCCCCAGTGGCTGCTTGGTTCACCTCCAGCAAACCCCCCACCAGGGCACAGGGCTGCCATACAGCACCCCCACATCAGCCTGGGCCTTACACCAAGGCTGGGGCACATGCACACCCCCTGCCAGACCCACCACACAGCACCCTGTGCAAGCCCCATCATTCTTCCTTCCACATACCTCAGGTCCAGGGCACAGGACGCTACTACACTTTTCTCACAGTCATTGCTCATTAGTAAGTGCATTAATTATCATGTGCACATCACTGCAGGGAAGCTGCCCCGTGCAGGAGCTGCAGCTCCTCGCTCCCAGGAGCTGGGCTTTGAGCCAGGGAGGCAAAAAAACCCACATGAGCAGCACAACCCAACAAAAACTACAGCGAGAGATTCAAGAGGACAGCAAAGGACTGATTGATTACCTGTCCATCCCCGGGAGGTTGCCCCAGAAGTAACGAGCTCGGTGGGCAGCTGATATCTTGATCGCATTAATCATAACTGGGTTACACTGGGGGCCAGAGAGGGGGGAAATAAAAGTTAAAGGAGATGTGGGTTTAGTCCTCTCCTGCAGGAAAAGCCCTTCCCACTGCACTGCAGGGACTTAAAAGTCTCCAGCAAATCCTCCTGAGGATGTAGCCCCCACAAACCCTATTCCACACCACAGCACGTCTTGGTTGGCCACATGGGCTCCCAGGTCATGGCCATGGCCAGCAGCTAATAACCCTAACAGGGTGCTCAGTGCTGGTTCCCCTGGGCCAGGATCAGAACTGTCAGCCTCTGATGGGGCTTTTACACCAGGGTCCCTGCTGACTCACAGCTTGTCCTGGCTACCACAGAGTTAAAAACCCTTCCCAGTCCCTGACCTCCCTCTCCCTGGAAATAACAGGCATTGCTCTGAACAGATGCTTTCTTCAAGGCTGGCAAAACCCCTCCCCCGAAGGACTAGTGCTTGGGTTTGACCTGCTGAAAGCCAGAGGGGAGGATGCAGAGCCAAGACTAAACTTGATTCCTCGGCATGTGCACCAGGCAGGGGGTTTTCCAGCATTGAGGCCACAGGAAACCATAGCCAGACCCTCACAGCTGGCACACCCTGCACAGCCCAGCAAGTGTCACCTGCTGTGACGCCTTTCCTGCAGCCAGCAGCAATCCCTACCTCCAGAAACCGGGAAATGTCCCTCTTGTCATTGACCCTCATGGCCACCACATTCTCAAACATCCAGAAGAAGGGCCGCTCCTCGCCTTCCTTGGGACGGGCGTAGTTGAGCAGGTGGTAGAACTCGAAGAACAGCCTCCCGCTTCCTTCTGCAGGGAAAAAGCAGAGCAGCAGGTTGGGACCAGCTGAGGCATCGGGAATGGGGTGCCGGGGGGGCCTGGCTGCCCTCTCCACCACAGCAGGCATGGAAACAGCCTGTGCTCTGCAGGTGCCACAGGGAGCCACCACCAACACAGCCTGGGGCTGAAACACTTCCCTGGGCTGTAAGGTGGCTCCATGACCCAGGAACACCCCGGGGTACCCAGCTCAGCAGAGGTGAAGCAGCCTTACCAAACAGTGCCTTCCTGGTTGGATTGACAAGGGAGAGGTCATCACAGGGGGTTCCACCGATCACCAGGTCAAAAGGACCCCACTCCTCAATCTACAGGGAACAGACACACCAGCCCATTAGGAAATGCCACAGAAGTGTATCTCTCCTCCCCGGTGGGGTAGGGGACAAGCCCATCCCAGGACTGGTGGGGTGAGACCCACACACCCACGGGGCCACATCCCCCGGCTCCCCACAGAAGCAGAGCTCACGTTTCTCTTGGTTATGTTCCTGACATCGTGCACGTAGGTGATATTGCCCTCGGGCCGCCGCACGGTGCCCGCTGCGATGGGGTCGTCGCCGATCTCCGAGGCAATGTACTTCTCCACTTGGATGCCCAAGTCCTTCAGCACCATGTACCCTGCCAACGGACAGAGGTCTGAGGTCGCACTGCTCTCTTTGGCCTCCCGGTCTCCTTCCTCAGCAGAGCTCGATGTGGCTGCTCCTGGATGTCCTAGGTGGGGGCAGTCACACAAGACTTCAGGATGAGCAAACTTTTTTTTGACCTATTCCTCCAGGCACCGTTTGCCCCCAGAAAGAAGAATACCAGAGCTGAGTGAACTGACCCAAACCAGTTGCCCTCAGGCATGTCACCAGAGGCCAGGTTGCTGTTCTTCCCACAGCTCTGGCTTCTCAGGGGAACCAGCCACCTGAACCTCTGTGAGCAAAACTCCCATGCCTCCCTCCCTCCTTCCATCCATCCCTCCCTTTCTCCTGCTCTCGACCCCTGCTGATGGGGATCCCTCCTGTCTTCACCCCCTTCTCCCCAACAAGCTTTCAGAGACAGGTCTGAGTCCATGGAATGATTCATCTCTGCTGCCCAGTGCTGAAAAGCCACCAGGCAGTGCTTCCCTACAGCCTCACCTGTTGCTATCCCATCGAACAACGAGAGCACTCGGATTGGTCTCCTCTTTGCTGGCGGGACTGTTGGGTAGATTTTGGGTGCAGCCTGCAATGGAAACAGCCATGAAGCCCCAGCCCTGGCAGTGCTCCATCATCTTATGAGGCCAAACTTCAGCTCTGCAGGCATCACCTCTGCCTTCAGGAGAGCATCTGCAGGGCCAAGAGCCCAGCACCCTTGGAGAGAGTGAAGGAACAAGACCAAGGCAGAGGGAAGAGGAATTCCAAGCCACTTGCCCTGGCCTTCATGACCCTCTTCCCCACACCCCAGCATGCCAGGCTCCCTGCCCACAGCCCTTACATATTCCTGTCCCTTGTCACTGGTGAAGAAGTCCAGCAGACGGGCGTTCCAGTCCTGCCGGCGCTGCAGCAGCCCGTAGTTCTGCTGGGGTGAGCACATGTAGCAGTTCCAGGGCTCCTGCATTTTTGCTCTGGTCGATGTCCCTCGCCCCACCAGCACGTCCAGACACTCCACACAGAAGCACCTGCCCAAACCACAACACCTCGTGCTTGTCACCTCAGGGACCCCTCTGGGTCACCTCAGCCTCTCCTGGAATCTCCCCCACCATGCACCAGAGCCCCTGTCCTGTTCTACAGGATATTTTTCCAGGCAGTACCTTGGTTTTTAGGGCTGCTAACACAAGCCAGTGACCCAAGGCATGGGTAAATCTCCTGCCAACCTCCCCAGGGTTAATTCAGGTGCTGCCTGGTTCAGTAGGGAGAAGTAGGCTGTGCTAGGACATGCTGCATGGCAGCCAGCTGGGGAGCAGCCCAGCCCCTGTGTCCAGGCTCATGCAGGACCCTGCTCCCCACAGCTCCCTGGAATGATGTCAGGGCCACAGCCCCAGGAGCAAAGACATGGGGCCCACCTGCAGCAGCTGGAATTGCTGCAGAGCAGCAGCTCCTTGCCCGCACAGCAGACAGCACAGTAGGACTGGTAACCATCTTCATCATACATGTAGAAGAACTCCAGGAATCTATCCTAGTGAAAGGACAGCCAGGAGGAGAGAAGGACAGAGAATCAGGAGCTGTGCTCAGAGGGTAAAGAGAGAATGCAGCTTTGGTCCACCCCCTGTCCCAGCAACACTGGACGGATCCCGGCCCCATCCTCCAGCCCCAGCACTGCAGCACTTACCCTGCACGTTTGGCAGAGGCCTCCTTTGAACAGTGGGTGGAAGGTGGCCGGGTTCCTCCTCCCACAGGACAAACAGCTGTCTGTGGGACAGAGAGAGCTGTGTTCACCCGAGGCAGGGAGACCTCAGGGCAGGGCGTCCCCAAACCCCCACCCCACTTCAGGCTGCAGAGGCTGGAGCCTCCCGTTGGAACAATGTCTGGAACAGCCTGCCCTTGGAACAGCATCCAAATGGGGTCTGCCTTTGGAACCACATCCAGATGTGGCTGTGGCTCCCCATGGAGGATCTGCACAGCACCCTGTTCCCCTCAGCACAGGGGGACCTCAGCACCCTGCAGTCACAGCGCTTTCCCCCCTCCCAGATGGTGCTGTTGAAAAGGAACCCATGACCCTTGCTGAGTCCCTTCCAGCCAGGATCCCCTATCACCCCACAGCTCTTCCCAAGGGAGACAGGACCAGTGATTACCTTCCAGCTTCCCGCTGTTGTTCGTAACTTCGGAAACCATTTGTTCTTTATAAAATTTAGAAAAAAAAAATTATCATTCCTTACATTAGAAACTCTAAATTAATTCTGCTTACAACTGCTTTTTTTCTTGCATTAGAACTGCTCCAGCTTTGCTGAGCATCAAACGGAGAAGGTTGGCCATGGGCATGTTAGAAATTTTGGGGCAAACCCCACATCCTTTCACTGAAGGAGATATGAGAGCTCAGCACAGCAGCTCATGGATCATGTCCAAGCTGAGCCATTATTGGAGCCCAGCCCCTATCTTGCAGCTGGGTTTGCTGGTGTCTAATAAGGCACAACTGAGCACCATGGGATCACAAAAGCTTCTGCCCTCAGGAATCAAGCTTATGGCCACCAGGGAAGAGCCAACCCCTTTCCCAGAATGGTTTTCCAGTGCTCTCAGGGTGCACAGCCCAGGCCAAGCCACTCCCCAGCTCTCTCTGTTGGTTACCTCGGGTCTGGTCCTCTTCCACACGCTGCTCCTTGCCATTGTTGCAGGGGTAGCTCTTCAGCCTCTTGGTGGGGGGATACTGTTCAAGGGACAGCACCTCCTCCGTCCCATTCCTCAGCACCCCATTTTCTGCAAGAGAAAGGCAGCTCCCTGGGCACGAGCCTCCAGCCCCAGGACCACCTCAGGGCAATGGGAGACATCTCCTGCCAAGCCCTGCCAGGTCCCACCCCAGTCACAAGCAGAACCCTTCCTGGCCACCCGGGCTCCCCACTCATGGCACAAGGCTCAGCCAAGTCAGGTTTCCAGGAGCAAGGGCATGGATAGTGCTTTGCTCTGGCTTTTTGCAAAGTCACTGTCAGGGACCCAGTGAGGAGCTCCAGGACCACTTTGGGACCGGAATGGCACGGCCACAGCACAGGGTGAGCAGGCTCAGCTGGGGCCACATACTGGTGGCTGCTGACCACACCAGCCCCCTGCCAGTGCCATGCCAGCCCCCACCCAGCTGATGCCACTGCCTCACCTGAGGTTTTGGGTGGCTGCAGTCCCTTGAGCCCCAGGGGTTTGAAGCCAGTGATTGCCCAGTCAATCATCGGCTTCAGCTGCTCCTCCAGCGAGTCCCTGGGGCCGGTTGTAAACGTCTTCCCCGACCGGCTCCGGGCAACCTGCCGAGAATGGACAGCATGGGATAGGGTGACGGGGTGGTCTCTGTCTGGGAAGCAGCCACACCCCTGCCAGGGCCACAGCCCCAGGCCCCCTCCCCATCCAACACACATGGGTGTGGGGCTTGGCAGCCCTGGGATGGCAGCAGCTGATGGATTCCTGCTCTGGGTGTGCCCTCGGCTGTGTTCTGGTGCCCCCATCCCTGCAATGAGCCCATCCATCCTTCACCAGCCTCAATGGAGCCAGGAGCAGGGACAGCCCAGCTCCAGCTCTTGCCCAGACTCTTGCTCCCTGGCAAGCGACAGGAAGGCAGAAGAGGTGCCTGTGGATCTGCAGCCCTTTATCCCGGTGTGTGACACACCCCCTGGATGTGGATTGGACACACAGGGTGCTCAGCACCAGCCCTCCCTCCAAAGGGCACCTGGCACTAGCCCAGGACACCTCTGGCCAGCCTGGCACTGCCCTGCTGCTGTGATGCTGCTGTGTCCGAGACAGCGCAGGGAGCCTGGCCTGGGGATCTGGAGCAGCAAGGGCCTTGGGATCTGGATCAGCGAGACCCTGGAGCAGCAGCAGTTAACCCTGAACCCTGATGATAAGCAGAGTTCAGCCCCACAGCTGCACTTGCAAATCATCCTAGCAGAGAAAGGACTATTTTCCTGAGTGCCATCCCGCTGCCTCCAAGTCCAGCTGGTTTAGCTGGCACCTCACCCACCCAGCCACCCCTGGTGGTTACCTCCAGGGCATGGTATATGGCGCGCCGGTAGGACACCAGCTTATTGAACGTGGAAGAATTGAAATGCTGCCTAAAGGCCATCAGTCCCACCAGCTTGTCCGCAGAAACCTGTGAGAGAGTGACAAGAGCTCACCAGCGGGACAGGACAGGAATGTCCTGCCCGGCCATTTCCCCTCCAGCACTGCATTCCCAGCCCCGACCCTGTGGCACCGCAGCCAGGGGAGGAAGCCCAACGGCAGCATGACAAGGACAAGGACGGGTGGGTTGCACCCTCTGCCGGCGCTGTGACACCAGCACGGCACTTCCCTCCCTCCTGCCTGCAGCATGGGAGGGGTTGGATATCCTGGTTGCATATTAGAAAAGGGTTTTTCACTCAGAGGGTGGTCAGGCACTGGAACCGGGTCCCAAGGAAGTGGTCACGGCATCAGCCTGCCAGAGCTCGAGAAGCAGTGTTGGACAACACTCTTGGGCACACAATGGGATTTTGGGGTTGTCCTAAGCAGGGTCAGGAGTTGCACTCAATGATCCCCATGGGTCCCTTCCAACTTAGGATATTCTGAATCTGGGGGGGGGTGATGGGTCTCTGATGGGACATTCCTAACCAGGCAGGGCTCCTGGGCACCCCTGGAGCCCATGGCCTGGAAAAACCCTGTGTAGGGGCCAGGTATATGTTCCCACTGCTGGACAATGTCACCAACCTACAGTGTCCAATTATTAGTTACAGACACCAGAGCCATGAGAGCCTGCCAAGGCCTGGCTAGTGAACACCAGGGTGCCTGCCCAGGGAGGCTGCAGGGTGCACACACACCCCACAGGCAGCCCCAGGAGTGGGGTAGAAATGTGCAGGGGAGGGGGTTTGGGGCTGGGCACAGCAGGCAGGGGCAGACAGCAGGCTTACCTCGGAGAACTTTCCATCTCCAAACCACTGCACCCACCGCATGCCTGACACAGCCTGGCGCTTGGCCGTGGCTTTGTGGGAGACAACAATCGCAGGCCACCAGGAGAAACCTTTGATCTTCCCCCAGACGAGCTCCCCAATTCCAAATTCCTTCCCATCCTGAAAGCAAGAGATGATAACACAGATCTGCCAAAAAGCACAAACGCCCTATTTTATCTGGGCAGCTCTGCAGGAGAGCCCTGGAGCACAGGGGATGGACCCAGAGCGCCTTGAAGAGCTGCTCTGCCACGTGTGTCACACACTTGGATGTTTGTGCAGACAGGCTGCACCTCCTCCTTCAAGCACATGGTCCAGCACCTCCTGGCAGCACTGGCTCCCAGCCCTGCACCATGCCAGAGCTCAGTGGGGAGGTCTGTGTGTGCCAGCCCCACGCTGAGCCCATGCCTGGCACACGGCATGGTGCGTGCTCTGTCCTGCACAGCCCTCCTGGCACCAGGCCCCGTGCGTGTCCACTCCTGCCTGCCCTCCCAGGGTCTCTGCAAACACTGGGAAGCCTTGCCCTGAGATTGCTCCCTGGGTGCCCCGAGGTTCCTCCTTGGCACAGGGCAGCCCGTTCACAGGGCTCACAGCTTAGCCCATCTGGCTGCAGCCCAGGGAGAGGGTTCCCACCCACCCATCCCTCTTGTTCCCACTGGGGAGAGCAGGAAACAGGGCAGTGAAAACAGGGAGATGAAAAAGAACCAAGAATTTTGATGTGACCCATTGAGGGCCATGCTGGGTGCTTTACATGGGGAGGGCACCTCGCACAAAGCGGAGTCACCTCTGCCTGCAGAGCCCTCCTTTCCAGCTTTGTTCTGCAATTAGGCTCCTAATTATGCAGCAAGATGCAATTGCCCAATTCCTGCAAGTCTGGGGCCTTGCCCCATGGCCTGCAGGCGCTGAATCCCGCTCTGCAGCCCCAGCAGCTTCAGTTCTCTCCAGCATCCCCAACAGAAATGTTTTCTGCACATGCAACTGCCTGTCTCAGCGGGGCACAGCACGGCAGGGCACATGCCACACATGCGTGTCTCGGGAGGCCTGTGTGTGGCACTGGAGGCAGCTTGCCAGGACTGATCCCTAAAGTGTCCCTCGGCAGTAAGCTGCCCCCACAGCCTGAGACCATCACACCCCAGGCACACAGGGAAGGGCAGGCAGGGAAGGGGAGACAGGAGAAGCAGCAGTGAGGTTTCCAGAGGTTCCCCACGCCTGCAGGCTTAGGACAAGCCCCACACTACCGTGGATGCAAGAGCGGAGTTCAGCCCCTCTGTACCTGGTATTCCAGTGCCATCCCCACGTCTCTGCTCTCTGACTCCTCAGCCCCCAGCTCGGCAGAGCCATTCTGCCCCTCCTGGGAGCTGCTGCCAGAGAGTGTGCTGCTGCTCTGGGATGAGTCCCGGGAGTCATCCTCTGTCAGGTCGATGGTCAGTGGTGTGGACATGGCTGAGCGACGCCTGGAGCCCTGCATGGCAAAGGGAGAGAAGGTCAGTGCCACAAGGAGAGGGGAAGTGGGGAACAGAGACCTGCTCCACATCATCCCCCAACCTCACAGTCGGGATTGGAGAAGGGGAGCCAGTGATTGAGGGCACTGCTGCTGCCATGAGCAGAGAGGAGAGCCCTTAACAGGAGATTCTGCAGGAGAACTGCTCAGCTTTTACTTGTCAGACCCAAAGCAAATGGCACACCACTGCTCTCTCCCCTTTTCCTGTCCCAAATCCACTCCAGGGTGTTCAACACATCCAAATCATAAAAAGGGCAAGAAACAGCAAACTCACTCCAATCTACACAGGGAAAACTGAGGCCCTGAGAGTCTGCACCATGTCCAAAGCTGCTTGCCCAGGGTGCAACAGGAGTGCAGGTCTCTGGAGCCCCAGGGAAGCCCCAGGGAAGCCCCAGGGAAGCCATGACCCCACGTAGACCTGCAGACCCTCACCCGCACAGGAGTTCGCAGGTCCCTGAGAGCCTCCACACTGCTTCGATCCTTGATCCTCGTCACGTGCCGGGCCTGCCCTGCCTGGAAGATGAGGTGGACTGTGGGCTTCTGCCTGAGGCTGCTCTCCCACCCAGCGCTGCCCCGGGGCTGCACCTGCCACCAGAACAGAGAGGTGCCATGGCAGGGGTGCCCTCCCCATGCGGGACACGGACAGCCTGTGCTTCACGGGGCCGAGCACCAGCAGCACCAGAGCCCTGGGGAGGGCAAGAGGAGGGCAGACGGCTGCTGGGGGCACCTTGTGCTGAGCCCCTCTGGGCAACCATGCCCTCCACAGAGTCTCTGCAGGGTTCAGGAGCACCCATTGCTGCAGCCCTGCATCCGGCATGACCGACAGCAGCAGGAGCCATAGCCAGGAGCACTGGATGCCAGGAGAGCCACAGGCCCCAGCAGAGCACCCCTCGGAGGCACGGACCCACTCACATACCCATGGATGCTTTCACACACCCGTGAGTGCTTCCTCTCACAGCTGGCCCTGCAGCAGAACCCTGCAGCACCCTGCAGCAGCCCTTCCCCAGCAGTCACAGACACAGTCCAGCCCAGGCATGTTTCCTGCATCCGGCATAACGAGGCTCAAAATTAAACGAGATTTTGCAGCAAAGAGCCCCTGAACCAAACATAGTGGGGAAGCTGAATTTTCACCCACTGGATTTATGGCTCTTTCTTTTGGAAGCTGCCTCATCTCAGGCAGATCTCCAACCTTGGGGTTTGTTTCTAACTCAAAACAATAAAGCAAGAAGGCAAAAATGTTTCCAGATCCTGGAGGTTTGTCAACCTAGTCAACAAAAGAGGGTGGGTGAAACTGGGGTGCAGCCCCAAGGCAGCTAAAAGCAGCCCAGCCCAAGAGAGGGAGACACGAGATGGTTCAGTCCATCAATACAGACAAGACTTTTCAAAGAAAACATATCAGCATAATAATTATGATAATTATTAGGCTGCTGCAACACATAGTGGGCATCACTGCATCTCACACCACCCCCTCCTGCTGCTGTGGTCTCATGTAAATCAGGAATTTAAAAATTACAATATTACACTGGTAAATGAGTGTTGCATCCACCACTGGACTGTTCCCCCAGCACAAGAACAGCCCAGAGGGAAAGAGATGAGGACTCTGACACTGGATGCCCCCACAGACAGCCCCTGAAGAGCAGCCTAGGTGATATCTTACCTTCTGCACCCCCGCCAGGCCAAGTGGCCAGGCCAGGTCCTCCTTGGAGAGGTCTCCATTGCTGTCCTTGTTCTGCAGAGGCAACAGCGCGAGGTCCATGGGATCTGTGCAGGGACAAGGCAGAGAAGCTTTAGGCTCTGCAAGCCCTCCTGGCTGTGTCCCCACATGCCTCTGCATGTCCCACTGCTCTCAAGAGCATGTCATGATTTGGAGAGACAGAAATCTCATCTTGGAGAATTGTGGCCAGAAGCAGAGACAAGTGGTGTTCCCAGGGCTCCCCATCGTGGCACCACACCCCCGGATCACCCACCTGTCCCCAAAACTGGGAGGGACCAGCAGCAAGTGTGGTGACATTCTTATCTACTTCTTAGTTCCTGAAAGCTCAGGGGCACAAGCCAGCTATTCAGGGCTTGTCACCAAGTCATTTAAAACAGGACCTTGTTTACCCAAGAGGTGGGATTTGGAAAGCCCAGACTGGATCATCTCAGGAGCAGTGGCACCCCTCAGGCTAGTGAGGCTCCCCCTCTTCCCTTGCTCCAGGGTATTCAACTATCAAGGGGCAGAGCCAGCCTCCCACTGTGGTACCCCTTTCCACAACCAGGTCATGGCCTGGATGTGCTACAAGATTGCAGAAACCCAGTGGAGTCACATCACGGAGGGACCCTGGCCATGGCTGCAGCACTGCAGCCCCCCCCCCCTGCCACAGTGCCTCATACAGTGGGCTGGGAGATCCCAAACCCTGTTTATCCTTGCACATCCCAGGCAGGATGCATTCTGGGCACACCGTGGTGACCCTCACCTGGAGTACTGGGCTTCCCATTCGCCTCCAGTACAACACTGGGTGTAGCAGGATTGGTGCAGTCCCCGTTGAGGAGGATCAGCTTTGCCCTGCAGTCTGCCTCATCCTGCCCGTGGCTCTTGTCCTGTTTCATGGTCGCCTGTGGAAGCCAGAGTAGAAAGGAAATTCAGCCATGAAGGAAGACTCAAGGAGGGCAAAGTAGACAGTGTGAGCTCCTTGAGCCAGCCACAACTTCACGTCCTTAGCACTGAGGTCTGACTAGAGACACATCTGGAGGGGTCCTGGGAGCTAAACAGCATTTGGACAAAACCTCTCCACAAATGTGGTGGCCCTAAAGATCCACCAGCTGCAGCTAACAGAGGCTCCAGACACAACCCACTCCTCTTTAGGGAACACGAGGCTTTTCCCCACCATCCGTATGCTGTGGAACACTCCTGGGCTTGGTGCTGCCCAGCCCCACCTCACTCCGCTGGACCCAGTCTGGAGGGGAGCTGCACTTCCCTGCCACCCTGCAGAAACCGGGGGACAGCCCACCCCAGGGAACAACCCACCCCAGGGGACAGCCCACCCCAGGGGCACCATTACAGCTGCCCAGGCGTGGGTGGGCTGTGCCTGCAGCAGCAGGACAGGCAGGCAGCCCCCCCGCCATGAGGGGCAAAGTCCTGGAGCCTGCAGCCAGTTAAACTCCCCCAAAGGGAGAAAACTCCTCCTTACCCCCACTCCTGGCCTCAGCTTCCCTGCCCCAGGGCGAGGGGGCAGGGCAGGGGGCTGTGCAGCAGCACCCCCTGCCCTGGTGTCCCCTGCAGAGCTGGGGCGCTCCCCTTGCCTGAGCTCAGACGCCTCCGCCTTCCCTTGGGTGCCCTCCCCGGATCCTGTTTTTGGAAGTGGAAGCTCTGGCTCTCCTGGAGGCACCCGGACGCCGTGAACAACACTGCCTCATTGCTGGGCTATGGGTCTGTGCTGCAACTTGCCCCTTCGGCAGCACAGTCATTTCAGGAGCGTGCAACGAAAGAGCTGAGGAGCACACAGGGCTTTGCCCACCTACAGCCCTGTAAGGAAGCCAAAGCAACACCCCCCCAGCCTCAGAGAGACCCCATCTCCAGCCCACCGCCCCTTTTGCGTCACTCTCACTCCACATTGCCTCCAACTGCTGCTTAACAATTGAGATTACTGCTTTGAAATCATCTGTCAGCACCTCTGGCTAACAAAGACCAGTTGGGGTTTGATGTTTTGGATGCCGAGGGCAGAGTTAGAAAACCTGCTAACACCCAAACATGAAGGAAAACATGTGTCCAGCGCCCACCTCCCCAGGCAGAGATCCCCATGCACATCCTGCCTCCCCCCTCAACCAAGGGAGAAGGAGAGAAATTGCACCAGGCGGAGTCTGAAGCTGCATAACCCCCTAACAGCTGCGTGGAGGATTTCTGTGTGCAGAAATCCCACTGCTGCAGCACATCTGCTCCCAGATCCAGCAAACAATTCCTGGGAGCTGCCCAGACTCGCTGCCTGCCCCCAGTCCAGGTGGACGGTCCCACATGGCCCCGGATGCAGCAATCCACCCCAGCACAGCACAGCCGGGTCAGCTCCTCCTGGTCTGCTCCCCTTCCCCAGCCCACAGATGCTGCAGAGCAGCAGCAGCCACAGCCAGTGATGATGCTGCCACCAAAACCAGCAAATCTCACCAAACAGTAGTGAATCACCCTTGGGAATCCCTACAGGGAGGTGTGAGAAGATATGCTGCTCTCCCAGCATGAGGGTGACCCCGAGGGGACAGGCAGATGGGGCAGCATGAGGCAGGTAAGATTCAGGGAGAACAGGAGCAGGCAAGGCCACCACCCAGCCCTACCAAACATCTGCAGCTACAAAACTCCAGAGGACCCCTGCATTCAGTCCTGTCTCAGGAGCCCAGGAAGTTCAAACCTGCACCTCAAAATGTCTTTTCCTCTCTCAGCTCCGGGGCTGCCTGATGCCCAGCATGGCCAGGGCTCGCCAGGCCACCAGGCGAGGGTGTCCTGCCAGCCCCGTGCTAGGGAGGCAGCAGGGAAGGGTGACGCAGTGGCCAGGTTTCCCCTGGAATGTGACACAACCAGGACTGAGCACCCCAACACATCAAGCTCGGCTTTGCCACGTGCTCAGGAAGCTCCCACACTGTCTTTGTTCCAGTTATAAAGTGGGGGAAAAGGAGTTATCCCTTTGGAAGGAACTGCCCCCTGGCAGAGCGGAGACCCACAGGCCACAGCTCTGCAGGTCCGTGGCACTGGGCTGGAGGCCCAGTGAGCAGAGGCAGGTCAGCTCATTGTTTGCTGCATGTTCTCTCCAGCTGCACCGCCCAAGATCACTCGAGGACATCCCCATCACCATCCTCTGATGGGAAAGGGAACAACACACCACAGCCCAAGCTGCTCGTTAAAAGTCTCGCTTTCCCAAAATCCCACACTTATGCAGCAGGACTGTAACTCCCATCCTTTCTCCTCCTACCGCTGCCGTTTGTACCAAGCACTGAAGCCTCACGCCCAAGCCCGTCCTGCCACTCACAGCCCACACCAGGTCCCCCCATGGGAGCCACGTCCTTCTGAGCTCACCCACTCCTGCTTGGAAGGAAGGCTCGGCTCTTTGTCCCCTTGCAGAAACACACCAACATGTGCACGCAGGGCATTACGAAAATAATAAGAAACAGAGCACTGCCCTCACATGTGCTGTCTCACGGGAGGAGGAGACCAGCCCTGCAGTGTTTGCTTTGCCCGGCGCCCTGCAAACACACCGGGTGCTCCACAGCCATGCGCTCCAGATGGGAACCCACGAGGAGGAAAACAACGCAGAATTCCAGAGTTGCCGAAAGCTCCCCAAGAGCCTGGCGCCAGCGGCAGCCCCGGCACTGCCTGGTGACCAGGACGTGCCCTGCAGCCAAATCCCACCGAGGAGACAATGAACCCGCTGACTTTGGAGCCCGCCCTCATTTTGCAATACCAGTTTCTTTAAGATTTGCCAAACTGGTTAAAGACCATGCCACAGTATTAACTGCTTAGAGAGAATTCTGGTCCCTGCCTGGCCATGCTTGCCAGCCACCCTGGAGCAGGCAGAGCAGTCAGAGTGGGCATGACAACTGGACTCACCTGGCAGAGAGGGCAGGGTGGGCAGGGAAGGCAGAGCTCACCTGGCCGGACTGTGCTCTGGACTGGACCCCTGCCCCTGCTCCCGGGGCTGCTCCCCCAGCCTGGCCCGGGCTGGTTTCAGTTTTCCTTGCTGGGAAAACAGGCTGCCCTGTTATCAGGTGCGTGTCCCCAGGAGGTGGGGAGGTTGCGGACTTTGCCTCCAGACAGGGGCATGCATATCAAAAGGCTGGAGGGAAGCTTTGCCGATGGCTGGGATGGAGCCATCGCCCAAGCCCTGTTTGAATAACAAAAAGAAATAAAGGACCCTAATGGCCGGGCCGGCTCTGGGCTGTGGCGCACACTAATGGCCTTTAAGTCTCCCCAAACCGAACATTTCCCTCTAATCCTGGAAAGAAAGGAGTTGCTGGGTTGGCAGTTCCGTAAGAAAGGCGCCCATTTCGCAGATGTGCTTGCTGGGAAGGGCAAGGGGCGAAGGGCAGGCTCCCCCT